TTCCATATCATATCCGTTCGTCGTTCCACAACTGCGACTTAGGGTTTTATGAAATAAACGCCATTCTTAAAAAACCGGCCACGTACTCTCGAGCCCCATCAGATGAAGCTACTGCCTATTTGTCTCCCGTTCTATAAACAAAGGTCGACATCACACCCGTAAGTATAGCCTATTCGATGCATGTGTATTCGAAATTCTAGGTTTACCATAAACGCTTCTCTGTAAGAGCGCTTGATTTTTTACTCTGTGGTCGCAAAATTCCACCACTGTAAATAATTTACATAAAACAGTGTCCCTAACGCCGTATATTAATAGCGTTAGATAAAAGTTAGTAGGTCTCGAAATGAGGTCAATGTCGGTGTTGCAAGCTGCGTCGGCCAATGCCGAACTATTTCCTTGTTAGCTATCGTGTGGAAGTGGTTTTTGGTCGTTTATCTCTGGTTTAGTGGTTAAGCGATTCGCAATATTTATGAATTCTTAGTGCAGTAATAGAATGCTGAAGCGTGAATTTCTTATAAGCTAATACTTACCGCTCTGTTATTGAAGATTCCACTTATGTAATAAAAATATTTTAAGAAGCATGTAACGATAGCTCTCCGTATCACCTTGACGTCCGTCGTACCACAACTGGGCGTTTTTAAGGCAGTTTTGGCGCGCACCACCACTATGTGGTGCACTCACTAGTATTTCCGTACCAATTCGACATAGGTTCAAGAAAAGAGCGTTAACATTAAAAGGCCGGCAACGTACTTGCGAGCCTCCTGGCTTTGAGTGTCCATATCATCGGAGTCTCCTGCCGGTTTGCCCCTACCATCCTGGTTATTATTTTATAAGGAGGTCACTACTCTAGTAATATTCTGTAGTGGGTTTATTTTGGTAGATTAGAAAGAGTAATTAAATAACTCTAGGTCAAGTTTGGACCATAAACCTTCAGAGAGACCTTAATATTTATCGTTTCCATTTTTTAATGTTTAACTCGGCAACATATCGTTACCGAATTTCCTAACCAATTTGGTTGGTTGAGGTTTTACTTTCTGACTACATTTTTAGACTTCCCACGGCATAAGCGCCAGCTTCCGCAGCCCATGGCCACCCAGTGAGTATATAGCCGGCATTTTAGAGAGGAGTATGCTCTTATTTTTGGAGATCGTATTTCCCTGAAAAGACCTTTACCGAAAATTATCGCCAAGCAGTGGGTTCCCAGCTCGGTTGTAATTTTTTAATTATTAATTCTACTAATATTATAAATGCGTAATTTTGTAAATATAGATGGATTTTTGTTACTCTTTCACGTAAAAGCTACTGAATGGATTTTAATGAAACTTTACAATAATAATATTATATATTTTACATCAGAATAACACATAGGCTACACTTTATAAAGATATTGTGTGAAAACAAAATATCAAGTAAGTAGGAAAAAATCTACCATCTACGAGCTATTCTGGCGTGCGCTGCCAAAACCGCTAGAGTTACACATGAAAAAGTTTAGCAGCTTGAATTGGCTGCTTCTCCTGTATTGCTCTACATGTCGAGTCAATTTCATTTTGTATGGTATTTTAAATACTGGTGGAAACTGCAAGTTTCATTCGCTTAAGTTCTTCTATAATCTGGAGCCCTGTCTGATAACCTCCCTACCTCTATACCTGATCTGAATGAAGAAAATTACCATAAATAAATTAAAGAGAGCACGACTGATTCATAAGCATAGCGTGTCTTTGGTTATGCATGTATCATTCAAAATATATTCGTGTAAATTGTCGGTGTGTTTGAGTGTGACGCAGACGAATTTTCAATCTTGTGAATTGCGACTTTCGATGTTAACAAACAGGTTACGTTTGATATAATTGTAATACGATGTTTCTCATAATTTAAATTACATATTTATAATTGATGTATGCAAAATACAATTTATGTGTTATTTTAAAGCTTGATAAAGCTCTAATATCTGAAACTGTTTTAGGATATATTTAATATTTAATCCGCTGGCTGTGCGACCCAAAACGCCAATATTTCGACGATATTTTGGTTCTTCTATAAGTGTCTGTTTGTTTCCTAATTAATATGGATAAAGCCTTTATATACAGTTACTAGTAAGTAAAAATTCAAATTACTGTGTGTCAACGGACAGTAACTGTCTTGTCCCGAACCTCATTCTCCATCCATGACTCCCTTTTTCTCTTTCTTCGGTTTTGGCTACCATTCGGTAAAGTTCCTACTTCACTTTTCTTAACTACTCCTCAACTTGCTAGGCCCATTTCAGGTAGAATGCATGAGTCAAAGTCCCTTTTCTTCGATTCCTAATCAAAGTAATGTTTTTTGTATTAAATAATTTAGTATTGAAAGAGGTTTAATTATTTAGATTACCAGACAAGTATCAGCTTTCCTTTCTGTTCAAATTCGTTAACACGAAAGTTGATTTCGACAAGTACTAGGTACTGTAATGTTTTTTATTATGTGTAATAAAGTGTTGATATAAAACCTAAACGTATCATTTTTCAATTAAAGTTGTATAGTTTTCACTATTTTCACAAAAAATATTTAACTACTCTACTTATTTTAAAAGCCATTTACGATACCAATGTAGTTTTCTTCTTAGCCACTGTACGAACCTAAGGATTTTGCGGTACAAAAAGTGTTCTATAATCTGTGGTATATATTACAAATATTAGGCGTAAATAATAATATTTAATATACAAATTAGGGTGTCCTTGAAGAGCGACAAAAACTCGCTTGTCGACTGTACGCGTTCGCTCACGTGCGGATTGCACGTGACCAAATAATGTGCCCTTTATATAAAAAACTTTATACTGTTTGAAAAGGGGAATGTTTATGAAACATCCATTTCACTCATAAAAGTCTTTGGGTATATCAAAAACGTGATGCGCTTAGTCTGAGCGCTAATTTACTTTTTGAATATATAACTAATTATATATTTCATTTGGTTGTATCTTTTGTAAGTATGTAGTGAGTATTGTAGTAGATATTAACGTTATCTATGAAATCGCTTTTTGCGTTGAACATACTGATGAGTCTATAGGGCAGTGTTTCCCAACGTGGGGGCCATACCACAAGGGGGAAATTTAATTGTTAAGGGGTCATTCTAAAATTTATTACAATTATTTGGAATTTGAATTTCAGCTATACATTAAATGTTTTGAAAATTAACTTACTGTTTCGTGAAAAATATCCTAGTGATTTCTTTCTAAAACCTAAATTAAAAAGTTTAATAAACTTAAATGATAGATTTTAGTGAACAATTTAATTTTTTAATATTAAAAATTATGTAGGCACGTTACGTAAGATTTTTAAAAATACTAAGGTGTAGCGAAACACTGCTTTAGGCCTACAACGCACTAGCGGCTGGCCGCGATGCGGTGTGCCGCTGCGGCAGGCCGCGGTATATACGGTCTGCCGTAGCGGCATGCCGTATTCCGGCTAACCGTCCCTATTGCGGTCTGCCGCCATCGTCACTCGTCAAGTGCTTCTTGAAATATTGCACATGATGGACGTTGAAGAAGTTGCGGTAGTTATTTATTTATATCATCGTAGAAAATATCGTCAAAAAACTCTGCGTAGACTCTAGCGCAAGGAACAAGCGATGACTGAGGCGGGTAGGACGTGGTATTTGCGGCTAACCGCGCCGAGTGCGTGGAGGGGATGCGGCGCGCCGCATCATTCAACCGGTGCGGCTCGCCGCAGCCAGATCAACCGGAGCGGTTGACGGTTGTCCGCAAGTCAGTGCGTTGTTATCGTGCGGTTTCATGTAATAATCGATGTGCGGCCTAGTGCCTTGTAGGTCTTAGAGTAATCAATATGTGTAATCTATAGATTATTAATAATTATAAATATCAAATTCTGAATTTTTAATATAACTATGACAACACAATCAATTAGGTATATATAGAGGAAGATTTCATTAAACTCGATTTCAAAAGTCGTTGACCTTTACACTAGTTGGTACCATTACCAAGGTTCAATGCCAAAAAACCTATTAACGGCTGGTTTCCTTAATAAAAAGTGTCTATTATTCAATATTTTCAATGAAACGGAAAATTTGCTGCATTTGCTTTGTGCTAGAGTCTCACCTAGACAGTGCTCTATTGTCTTCAGACTCTGATGTTGTTTTTAATTGTTATACATATTTCTTACGTTATTTATTTATTTTCACAATATCGTAAATTACCACAAACGTGGTAGTCTAAAAGCTAAAGTATTCTAAGAACGAAAGACATTATTATCGTTTTTCACGTCTGGTGTTGATAATTACAGTCATATTTTCTATTTATTTTAGTCTATGGCGTTGATTAACTCACATTAAAGAAAATATATCTTTGAACGTAAATAAATTGTAGCCTTGTAGGTTTACATGAAATTAAACCAAATAAGCTAATTGGCGCCATTTAATTTTGCATATTTCATGACGTCAATAATAAATCAAACATCATTTTTCTGTATATCTGCTCACATTTGGCGCCCGTCCCGTTTTGATTTTTTTAATAATTTTTTTTATGGCTCTAACACGGTTTGTGCATTAGCCAGCGTCAAGTATAAGATTTTTATAATTCGTGCTTGCCTTAGAAATTCGACCATGTCCTCCATGTACGGTTTAAGCACTCGCCCGGTACCGCACAACCCTCCCAAAGGCCGAGACCAAATTTAAATTAAATTAAAACTTGCCCTCGAACCGGGAATCGAACCCGGTACCCCTCACCTAGCTGCCACTTAATAAGACCGCTAGGCTATGAGGCCCTTGTTTTGAATTTTACTCTACGTATGTCAGGCACAGACTACATATGTATAACAAAAATAATTGAGTAATCTATGGTCATTACCCAGAGTGCCGCGTATAATGCAATTTGCCTAGAAACTAATTCATTAATTTAATTGTGTTCGAAGAATTAGGTCAAAAAAGCGAGTTTGTTTTTGCTTTTCACACTTACCTTTATTATTAATAAAAATTGCATGTTTTGTTTGTGTAATTTTGAAATAAATAATAAATGGGTGGTGGTATCCAAGAGGGAAAAAAAGAGGAAGAGAAAGCCATTGTCTTGGATGATGCAAAATATCGGAAGCGATCGAGAAAGGCGCAAAACGGAAGAGAATGGCGCGCGGGAATAGAAGAGACAGCTACTGCCCGGTCTTACACTTTTTTTAATTTACATACTAATTACTGTAAATTAAGAAAAGAGCGTACCAATTCTTGAAAAGCCCGCAAAACACAGTTGCGTTCTGGCAATTTGAGTGTCCATGGGCGGTGGTATCACTTAACATCAGGTTAGCCTCCTGCCTGTTTGCCTCCTATTACATAAAAAAGGGATATATGCTTTGAGACATCATATAAGGCCCTCGATTGCCGGACTTAAAAGTATATAAGGCTTTGTACGATACATATAATATGTAGTACTGACGAGATAGAGCCTAAATGCCTTCATAGAAAGACAGAAGCCTCAGTGCCTACTTGGCTACAATAATATTGAGTCAAATCTCATTACTATATAGGTAGCTTAACAGTGCGTAGGTCCAAGGCTGTGTTAGTTCCGCGGTATGACGTCATTACCAATTAATAAATATTCAAATTAACAACCAAATGCATAATATGTTTTTGTAATTGCGTCAAATATTTTTTCATATTCACTTTCTAAATAATATAAGTCTCGTTGTCAGTATTATCTTTTCTAACTAGACTTTTATTGATATGGTATTTGATTTCCAGTCAAATGTGACCACTGGACCAACACGTGATATCAGAGAACAAGGTTTTAAGAAAAAAAAAGAATAACATCAGTGGCGCTGCAACCTCTTTAGGTCTTGGCCTCAGATTTATGAGTCTTTTTAATGATCATTTTTAAATCTAATAAGCAAGTAGGTGACCAGCCTCCAGTGTCTGACACACGCCGTCGACATTTTGGGTCTAAGACATGTCGGTTTCCTCACGATGTTTTCCTTCACCGTTCGAGCAAATGTTAAATGCGCCCATAGAAAGAAAGTCCATTGGTGCACAGCCGGGGATCGAGCCTCAGGTATGAGAGTCGCACGCTGAAGTCACAAGGCCAACACTGCTCTCAAGTTTTTCAGAGCCTGCTTAAAATAAATAATATACATAGATTGAATATGCTATGTATTTAAATTCGTAAACCTTCGGACCATGAAAATTAGATTGAAACAAGGCATAAATTATGAGTGGTAATAATTTTTAGGTTATTTATTCAGCGGCAATGAATACTCAAGGTTGTTAGAGCAATGAAATTACATTAACACGTCAAATACATATATGTGTGGTTTAATGAATGGATAATATAACTGCGGGTAGAGGACTCTCGGTTTTCAAGATATTCGAAATTTATAAGTATTAAAAAAAAGTCTTAAAACATGTTTTTCACCCTTCTTCTTCTTGTAGTGCCTCTCCACTACTGGAGGTTGGCAGTCACCTCGTCATACTTCTTATTCTTCGCCAAGCGCATCAACTGTTCCACGCTGGCCCCTCCCGTCCATTCTCTGATATTGTGGAGCCACGACTTTCTGTACGACGACGAATGTAAAACAAAAGAGTATCAGGGAGGTGAGAATGTAAAACAAAAGAGTATCAGGGCGGTCAGAATGTGAAACAAAAGAGTATCATGGTGGTGGGAACGTAAAACATAAGAGTATCAAGGTAGTGAGAATGTAAACTAAAGAGTATCAGGGAGGTGAAAATGAAATACAAAAGAGTATCAGGGCGGTAAGAATGTAAAACAAAAGAGTATCAGGGCGGTGGGAATGTGAAACAAAAGAGTGTGAAAAGCCGTGACTGACATCACCTTCGTCGATGCGTAGAGGACTAAAGATGCTGTTGACCAATTTGATTGTCAAACGGAACGAGTCGTTTCGAATTTGTTTCATGTCGATTTTACTATTTTAAAATAATTCCTTTACATTTCGTAGATAGCTACGAAAGTGCTACGTTTTAAAGCTAACAGAAGCTGTACATCGTTTAAGTTAATTATGCGCGTAATAAATTTGATTGATGTTATAATAATTATTCTTAGTCTGGATTAACATTATTTACTAGTATTGATTGTCGTCAAATTGAAATTATAACACCTCTTAAATGGGTATAAAGGCAAATTTATTACATTATTTAAGTAACTCGCCTTTTGAGTTCTTTTCATGCATCACAGTCATCAGGTCGCGTAAACTTTAATTAATAACATACGATAAAATCTGCGTCATTACTACGAATATCCCATATTTTTTTAATAAATTGGATAGTAAATTTATAATTCTATTGGTATTTCAGGTCGGCAGTTCAAAGCACACAAAGTGATACTGGCGGCTTGTAGTAAACACTTTCAAGAGCTCTTCGATTCCGCCCCTCCCAGCCATGCAGGCGCCTGTTACGTCATACTCGAAGCCACTTCGGCAGATAACATGCAGGCCCTCCTGGAGTTTATGTACAAGGGCGAAGTGCATGTCAGCCAGAATGCTCTCTCCAGCTTCCTCAAAAGCGGGGCGAACTTACAGGTAAATTTTCAGTAGCTATATCTTATACATGAAGACAAACTTTGCCAGTACCTACTAATAAACTCGTATGTATTTATTCTGGTCTAATGAAGAGAGTGTGAGATTCAGAATGCGCAGAAGAAATAGCACTTACTATGGCTGTTGTTTGTCAAAATCCAATACATCTTTGATGTAAGTGGAGTCAAGCTTAGCGCCAAGTATCAGTTCTGAATCTTATTCCAAATATTGGTTGGTTAATTTAAAAGGGACGGAGTGTTCAAAACTTGTAATAAAAGATACAAAAAAACCGACATCTCTAAAATTTAGGCTTTTTAATTTAACATGCATCAACTTAGGGTTGTCAACGAATTTAAATGTCGGAATGTTAAAATGAAATCACAAATACGCGTTTTCTACGTTAACCAATGGAATTCTAGCTTTTTTTCACCTCACGCTAAATACTCCGCGAGTAGGGATGTCATTCAAGATATAATTATTTAAAAAAAAAACTAAATATAAATTCTCAATACATCAAGATGTATACTTAGAGTAGTTACTCACATAGTAAACAAAATATCAAGTGCCTGAAACGTTACACGTCATAATATTCTTATCTCGATGTAGTTTCGTGTGTCTTAGGATTGACGAATCTATAAGGTGGTCTAAAACGAGGTTATATTTACTTTATAGTAGTGTAAATATAGTATGTATAATGTATATGTCTCGAATAGCTAAATAAACCCTTGCGTATAAAAATGAAAAGAGTGAATAAAAAGTGCCTTAATTAAGAAAATAGAAGATCCTTCAATCATTCAAATTACGTTTTTATTTGTTGTAACATGAAAAGAGAAAAACGTTTTCTATATATACAATTATTAAATAATAAGGTGACAGTTGGGCATGGGGAAAACACTTTTCTTTGTATATTTTGATGTGAATAACTGAACAGGACTTTAAACTTTCTACATACGGGAAAAAAGCTATTTATAACAAAATCGGAGGATACAGTTTGCCGTTGTAGTTTCGAATTTATCCTCTACATCCAAAATTAAATTATACAACTGGATAGCTGAAGGATCAAAGAATTCATTACGATAAGCGAGGGCAGTAACGCGAGGTGGAGGGAAAAGCGCCGCCATTTTGAGGTTATTTTGCTGCGTATAGAGATTTGCAATTAGTATAACTTTTGACGTTAAAGTTTTAATAATCAGCTGTCGTTAAAATCGATCTATTATAACTCGTTACATAAACATATTCAAGAACAACACACAACCGTCTTTATAACACAGCCACACCCCATTTTCTTTATTAATAAAAAAAACTTATGCTTATAAAGTATCTGCCCCTCAAATCCAAAGTAGAAGTATTTCAGTAGATACTGTGTATAAACTTAGCTACAGATATGCAACATTATAGGTCGGTTATCGAAAGCTGGCGCGTTCACAGTACTCACACTTATGCAATTTCACTATACAGTATGTTTAAAAATATGACTTTTTTGCCAAGCCATATCTTTTAGTCTACTTAGGTTTTAGTAAGGTTGGGTGGGTTGTATATAAATAAACTCCTCTTAGAAACCCCAGTCGCATCTGATATCAAATTAAAAATATTTTTTTTTCATTAAACTGTTTTTATTAAGATGCTTAAAATAATTAAAAACATTTTGCATCATTTCACGAGATTGTCCTGGTAATGTTTAGACGGAATATATTTCATAAGACATTTTTTTCAAAGTATTCTAACCTCCAACCAAATAAGTAAACAATCACAGACAAAATAATAATGAGAAAAAGATCAACATGTACAGTAAAGATCAACATCAACAGTAGCTAAAGCAAAACAATAACTGTCTCTTTTATACTCATAAGCTTGACCGAGCGCGAGAGAGACGGACAGTCTTTTCATGATGCATATTCAGTTTGACATTGACAGTCGCGCTTATTCACAGACACTACACAAGCACAAAGTGTAAATGTGTTGAAGCCGCCAGCTTTACATATACACAACATTACTGGTACATATAATTTAGCTAGATTTGACATTTCACTTATTAAATATTATGTAAAAAATTACAGGTTAAAGGCTTGTCAATGGAAATGTCCCAAGACGCATGGATGAAGCATCAGACCCAGCAGGTGTCTAGCGATCGTGTCGAAACCCGTGTCAAGACCAGCCCAGTTTCCGGATCCGGCAATTGTGAGGTTCAAGAGTCGCCACCATCCCACTCTACTACTTTTGCCCCAATAATACCACCATACGGCATACCCATACATGGAAGTGGTGGTGGGATGGGACGGTATGCGCCCCAAGCTCACTTGCATTCATCGTCGCATAGACGGCCTGCACCACCTAAGCAATCGCCTTCCCAGAGCCCACTGACTAGGAATTACAGGTAAAAACTGGCAACTTGGCTTCTATATTTCCAATTTAATTGTTTTTATATAAACTCATTCGGTAATATTCTAATTATGAAATGAAATACAGACTTTTATTGGCATATTTTATTTACATACTTCTTTAAGAAAATTAAACTAACAAAACAATGCTTTAAAACAATTTTTTAATTATTACCAAGGAGGTTTCAATTCAATTTAAGTACACATAATCTGTGGTGAGCGCGCGCAACGCGCTGGTTCCGAGCCAATAGACCATTAACAGACTTTTTCAATTTTGGCGTTATTTCGTACATACAAATTTGAGTAATATTTTGTTGGATAAAACATTAGTAGCAAAAATATCAAGCAACACCGACGATACCGATGAAACTTTAACTCCACCTGACATTCTAGAAACAGCTACGAAACTGACGAATAGTAGTCTTTTAGTAATAGTCTTAGCCAGAAAAATCTGGAAAAGCGTACGACAAATGTTACCAAGACTTTATGACTTGGAAACCTATAGCCATGAGATTAAATAAAGTAGTGTATGCATATAATAAGGTATTAAAACACTCGTGTAATCTTATTTTGAAACTCGCCTCCGGCTCGATTCAAAAAACTACACTCATATTTTAATACCCTCTATTATATGACAGTTGCATAAACTACTATTATAAGTTGGTGATCGGATTGTCACCGCCCCACCCTCTTATCTGAACTTACCTTTCTAATTCTTCATAATTTCGTACCGTTCCTATATATAACCCATTAATTTCAGACAAACATCATCATCATCACATTGCGGCAGCGTAGCTGATGAACCAGATACGCGATCATCACCAGGAGCGAGCGTGAAGTATGAAGAGAATCCAGATTGCACGTCCAGCGTCGCTAACCCTATAAAGAACAATGGCTACGAACGGTTTTCATCAGTTAAAGAAGAGATAATGGAGCGCTTACCAACGGATCAGGGTGCAGAAGGTACCTACAATTTTAGAGAATTAAAATTGTTTTTTTGTTCCACTAAAACTAATAAATAGCTGGACCGATTTGGCTAATGATCTTGAAATATTTTTGGAAGATTAGGGAAGGTTTAAAGGTGAAGATGGGACAATTGAATTATCAATTAAACCGATTCCTAATGGGGAAATATTTGATGTCTTGTATCTTTAGAAATAAACAATTGTCACTTGGTTGTCATATATTTATAGATGCCTTCACAAATTTGTGTTTCATAGATGTAGTATGAGGTCTGATCTCTTGGTCTGTTTAAAATTTTTGTATTAAAGGACACAAATATATGTAGGTGATATGGGGCATCTAGTAATCAATAAAAACTGTCGTTGAAATTTCCTTTGGTGTTCCAAAGAAAGGGTTTTTGGACTACTTTTGAAGTGAAACTTCTTAAGGCGCATGAGAGTAAATTTTTTACGGATGAAACGCGTCACGTAGATGTGCAGCGTTTTTGTTGAAGAAAAGAGAGAGAGCGATTGAGACCGATCGAGAGAGAGTGAAAAGGGCGAATTACCTTATAGAAATTCTATTTTTAAAATTATAATTTCGTAAAGAGAATTTATGAAATATTAGTATTTTATATTTTATGCAAAATAATTTATTGGAAGCTCAAATGACGAATTGTAAATGAAAATGCCACTTGTTTTTATTATCGAAGAAAAAATTTAAAAAATATTATAATTTGTATTAATTTTCGACACTTTTATATTTTAATGACAATTAAATTCATTAAATTCCTAACATATCTTCCTTTTTCCCTCTCTCTAAGTCTCGGAAATCTAAAGTTTTAGATTTGTATAAATATGAACAAGAGTTAAAAATTAGTTTGCCAAAGAAGTTTCACTTCTGACATGTGTACTTTGTACGCACGCACTTTTTTTTTATTTATGCGTATAATTTGAAGGATTTCATTTATAGGGTGTTATGCTATTTATTAATTTTTATTTTGTTGCTAACCATCAATTTTGATATTCCAGATTTACGGATAAAAAACGAGAACGAATACCACGGCGGTGGGTACAACAACTCATCTCCCCCAGCGCCAATACCTACCACTAACTACCACGACCCGCAGACTTCGCCGCCCAAACCCAGCCCTGACCTCTGGCCGCCCAAGATCATCACCAGCAAGTCTGGTGGGATCGCTACTGCTGACGGTAATTATTGATATCATTAGCTTTAAATCAATTTGTTACTTGAATTCTTAAAAGTCTTATAAAAATCAGATTTCAAATGTTGAACAATTATTGTGTGTACATTAACGCCATCTATTGACATATTAATACTTTTTAGGAATAAAAATATATTATATTTCGTTAATATATACATTTCCTTATGTGAAAGTATTAAATACATACTAACAATATGATAATACGAAGTAGGATAACAAAAAAGTGGTACTACTATAATGTATGTTTTAGATATTTTCTTAAAAGGTAGGGATCAGTTTGTAATATAGTTTTTGGGTTTAGGGTATGTCGGCATCTTTCCTCACCTCATAGTTTTTTTGCCATCCGAAAACTAAATTGGTGTACAGCCATAATTAAAAAGGTCTAGCCTAACACTGCTCTTTTATAGTATAAACCACAATATAAGGAAAAAATAGCATATAATATGTAATAATTGGGTAAATTCAAATAAAAAGGGGAGTATGAAGTTTACAATCACTGATATTATGTGGGTTTCGTCATTCTTTTATATTCTATTTTAATTCTATCATACATTACAGAATGGATAATCTGCTAAAAGTCAAAGTCAAGTCAAAAATCATTTAACCATATAGGTAACACAATGTACACCTATGAACGTCAAAAAAAAGAAATGTATAGCTTCTGACTTTACATTTAGTACCAGTTCTCAAATCAAGGGCGTAGAACGGAAGAGAAGAACTGGCAATAAACTCTCCGCCACTCTTAATTAATAATAATAACATAAATTAAAAACAAAGACTTGGCCTTTATGAGCAGGAGGCATGGTGAAATAGGAACACGCACTTACATTCTCGTGGGAACAACACGCAAACACATAGTCGAAATAACTAACATAATAATGCTTTTTAAAATAAATCTAAATTGTGTATTAAAAATTCCAGGAAAGAAACTAAAATGTCCATACTGCGAACGGCTTTACGGATACGAGACGAATCTGCGCGCTCACATCCGGCAGCGGCATCAGGGCATCCGGGTGCCATGTCCGCACTGCTCGCGAACATTCACGCGTAATAACACAGTGCGGCGACACATTGCCCGCGAGCATCGTCATCAGGTCACGCCGCACCAAGGACCTTTGCCCAACCACACCCAGTAAATCAAACAATCTACCTCTTCTCTTCTTTGTGACCCTGGTGTGACAGTGAATTAAACTGACATTTTCTAATAAACCCTTTTGAGATTTTTTCTATATCAGGCCTTTTATACGCCGATTATCAAAAAAAATTTTTTTTACGAAATGTGGGTACTTTACTTTGGTTATAAATTCTATTTTTAAAAGTTATTCAAGGTTGAGTATTGACGCAATAGATTAATTAATTGTATTTAAAAACCTTTTTACAAAATGCGGGTACCTACTATTTTTTTAACAATTTATTAAAACCCAAGTTTTTAATTAAAATATTGCAATTTTTTTTTAAAAGGTTTATAGAGTTTCGTTCACTGTCAACAGGTTCACGGAATCCGGCCGGTTCGGATTCCACGCGATTCCGAGCCGCGCCAAACAATATACCTCGTTTATGCATATTTATGTAACAGTCTACCTCAAAATTTGATCTTAGATTTTTAAGATTTGGAATCGTTCTAATTGTTACTTAATTCATGTCGCTGTATCCTTCAGAGTTACCTTTATTTTTACCTCAGTCGAGACGGTCAAAGGCTTAGAATGTAAATATTAGGAGAAAGTATATAGCCTGGCCCATCGAGACATTACAATAGACTGCGAATCCGGGTTAATTTTTTAACGCATCTGTGATACAATAGAACAGGCTTTTATTTAGTATTGTCTTTTATTAACATAACTTTTACACATTTAAAGAGGAAACTTTTTTACCGGATCGAAGTTATGTATTATTATAAACTTACAATTATTTTACATAATTAAAAAAAAAATCTGACGTTTCGCGTGCTTTACAGCGTGCGCGGTCACGGTGACTGAAGACAAAAGGTGTTGAATGTCAAAAAGTATCACAGCTGTATAAAAAGTTATATTACTGACTGATGACTCACGGTGTCCTCATTTCTGCCAAAACCCTCCATCTTTTAGTCGATACCAACTCCGGGAAAATAAATACAGATAATACAACTTTTTCTACAGCTGTGATACTTTTTGACATTCAACACCTTTTGTCTTCAGTCACCGTGTCCACGCACGCTGTAAAGCACGCGAAACGTCGGTTAAATTTAAAATTATGTAAAATAATTGTAAATTTATAATAATACATAACTACAATCCGGTAAAAAGTGTTCTCTTTAAAAAGGCTTTTATTTAGTTTCACGCGATTTGCCCAGTGAATGGTGAATGTTCACTGTTCGTTCCCCGCTCGCACGGTTGTTACTATTGAGACCAAATAATATATGTTTTGTCGCGATGGTGTCGATTTTAACATTCCGTTCGTTAGCATTTAGAGACCACTTAATATAGCTAGTCATTTCGAGTGCAACCGGTTGAGATTTAAATATTTAATGAGGCCAGTTATGTGTAGGGCAACATTGTTTATCCGCATTTAAAGCAATCTATGGGACAGTGCCAAATATCCTCTTCACATTTATTTATTTTTATATTTATTTTTTAAGTGTGAATGTGGCGACTGTGTGCTATTCCTGATATTTAGGAATGAGTTGCATTCATATTTATTCTATTTATTTAGGTTACAATAGATTTTTTAATGCTTACAAGGCTCAGTGATTTTATTATAATTTCCGTTTTACGTAGATTATATCTGAACGTTTACCTCGATTTCCTTAAAATTAGCGTCTATTTACACGCCCGGTATCTTTCGACCGGTTTCTATATTGTATTTGTAACGGGTCGTAGGTTCTATAGAGTTTGAGCTTAGAATTGTCTACGCCTCGTCGTACCTCTATAGAAGCCGGAATTACTGTCAGTATATCGTTTATATGAGAAAAATATTTTCGAATATTCCTGTACAAAGATGTTTTGATTGTTTCCTGTACTAAAGAAGCTATTTTACAAAGTCTCTAAAGATTTTACACTTCAATAATGTTAATTGATATTTTATAATCTTTACCAGTAATTTATCGTTTCTCGGTCAAATAAATGATTTAAGATTTGTGGTCGGGTCAGGGGCGACCGTGATGAACGTATTTTGAGGCCTAAATAGTTGGTTGCCCAGATGAGGCGATATTGAGGACATAACTTACCTGCAGAACTCTCTTAGGCGTAGCTTCGGAATCGTATGTGACGCGACATCTCCCATACATTTCGTTGTACGTCCGGAGAACGTCTCAGGCGCTCTGTCTCGGACAGATTTCGTGGATGTAAAATATGCCATAACTTAGAACTAGTATGAAAAAATGTAAAATTCATAAGTGTTTCTAGTTGGGGTTAAGTGTGGAAATAATTTGACCTTCGTTCATTATTTTTTAGTGAAAGTACATTCTTAATATGTTTTGCGTTAAGTATTGTTAGGTGTCATTTTAAATTGTTTTTTATTAGGAGTACCTCTGTTTGTTTTTATGAATTTAAAATTCATGTGATTTCTTTTGACATTTAATGTTTTTTGTGATATGTGGAAGAGTTGCATTAATGCATAATTATGTTCAACGGATCGCTGGCTTGTGTACATTCGTCAATTTTCTTCGGTAACTCGGTAACCAGTATACTAGTTCGCATTAAGTTTTCTCATTGTTATGTCTAATTAATGTGGGATTTTGTCCACGATAGATGTAATGTTGTATTTGATGTGATAACATAAAGTCGGTGTATCCCCCTCCTCGGGCCGATCTCGTTGCGGGAAATTCTAGAAAATTCGGAGAGGTTTTGTTGAATATTGTATAATTTTGAAGTTTGAGCAAATCCATAATGACGATGGGCCTCTTAATCCAAAGAAGTGCAGTGGATAGATGGGCAATTTAATAATCTACCTCTTTCTGTGCAATAGGTGAATGGCTCAAAGCTGCATTTATTTTGCTTGAATTTTCTCTTAATGGGTTCGCTAAGGTTAGGTTTAAGTTAGCGTTAAGTGTATATATGTCGCGATGTCTCGTGATGGTAAAGCCAAAGATTGTTACGGGTATGGTGACCCTCTGCCGTCACATGGGTTGTGCCGTGACGGAGTTGATACGTGAACGCCGTAACGGCACAATTCAGTTTAGTACATAAGTTTATCTACCTCGAGGATTAACTAAGTCTTTTAAATAGATTTTTATATGACGAAAATTATTTAGGTTAAGAAAGAAAAAAAAATTAAAAAAGTACAAATATACTACCTCAGGATTCACTTGAAGCTTATCAAAGTATTAATGTATTTTCATGTTAGTTAGGGGACTGACTTGAGACCGGTCTTGATCGCATAATGAATCTCTGAATGGTAGTCAGTGCCCTCGACTCAGCGTGTGCTCAAGTTTCACTTAAGCTGAGTTGACGGTCCTATAATGTTAAATGTTATTTAGGCTAGTTATTATAATCTCATGTTCTACCTCATGCGCATGTAGAGATCGGCCCCGAGATCCATTATAGTACCTACACTCTAAGGAGTATAAACCCTATTTTTTTTCATAATTTTTATTAATTTTTTCCCCAGTTATTTGTGTTGCATAGATGTTACTATGTTTTAAGGAAATGAAAATATTGTTGTTAGGTTTCTGCGAATTAAAATTGTAACAAAATTTATTTTATTTTTTTTGTTTATTTTTATTTTCCTTACAAGTTTTCACCCGTCCATGTGTATAATTAGGTTTATAAGGAATTGACAGTCGGGTATTTTGATTTCACTATGTTTTAAGTGCACTAGTTTATATTTGACGTTAATTAAGATTTGGTGTAAATGTCATGTTAAGTCATCTGTCAAGCGTTTTCATCATGTGTCAATAACATCGAATTTTTGTGATTATTTTTCCGACCCAAATATCGACCAATAGAATTGCACCATTCGACGTCACGTGGTACAACCTACATGGTATTATACTGATAATTTTTTGAAAATCTTCTCTGGTAGTTGCTTCAAGAAAAGTATTAAGTAGTTGTTTTATTCATTATGAAATTCTTATTTGTTAACTGTACATTTCGTCTCATGGTGCAATTCTATTGGCCGACATTTGGGTCGGAAAAATAATCCCCCGAATACCACACGAGCTTCAAAATTATCTGGCATTTCCCTCAAGGTTCCCTGCAAACAAATAAAGTCGTCAAGTTTTTCAATGAAGGAGTCAAGAAAAACTTGACTCCTTCATTGGTTTGCAACGAACCTATCGGGAAATACCCGATAATTTTGAAGCTCTTGTGGTATTATAAGTGAAAATTTACCCAAATCTGTTACATCTGTCAAAAATTTTAATTTGAAAATTCATCATTGCTGTATATAAAACACTTATATTTAATCACTTCGAGTACGAAGTTTTGGTGTTATTACATGTTCTTGGTGTAGTGTAAAAACCTCCACGAAAGGTAAAAAAAATAAAAAAAAATCGAGCACGGTTATAATTCAAGAACTAAAGTACAAATAAAGTCTTAAAATTGATATCAGTACAAATTTCGGATTAAAATGTTTATAAATGTTGCCAAAAACGGAGCATTCGTAATTATTTTCTAGTTACTGAGGTGAGTACAAATTAAATGTATAGCAGCCCGCACTGTTGGTTACGAATGGTTCAAATCTAAATTATTTATTCGTATACGATATTGTGTTATCAAGACAATACGCTGATTTCATTTGGTTCGACGAGGAGCAAGGGTATACAGAAGTACTGGCTTAGTGGGTAGTGTAAAGTAAACCATCTTGGTTGTAAAACTAAGTAATGTAACATAATGCTTGGTAAGGAGTAATCGGTATCGTGTGTAAAGAAAAGTGATTGTCTGTGATTTTTTCAAGCGACTTTTATATGAACCCTTAACCGTAAGAATAGCACTTACATGTGATTATACATAGGTATTTATTAGTTGGACTTCGTTTTTGTACTATATATATAGGATAGGCAGGCGTGTAGCGGGTTGATGTACATAAACTTATACATAATGTACAAATTGGCATACGGTATAACCATGCTTAGTGGGTATTCGCTTATCAATGGGCCACTGATCATTTAAATAGATTACGTAGACTTCATGTTGTCTATGACAGTTTAAGTTTCGAATAA